TGAATGAGCCCCTAGTGCAAACGTTTGAGAATACTCAATTCTCCTTATCAGGTACGTTGTCCTAGAGATAACTGAATATATATACAATCCTGCAGCGGCTAAATAACAAAAGTTAATTAAGCAAACAAGCAAAGCTAGATGAGGATACATAGATACAGAACAAGAACACCATTACAAATGAGTCTAGGCAACAATGTAGAGTTGTGAAAGAAGCACCTTGTGACCATAGAAGACTGTCAGATTGGATAAAGGGAATGGTTGTCATTTCAATGTTTTGTTATATATACATGTAAATATGAATAAATGAGATCAACCTGATATCAAGACATCAACTTGATTTGAATATCCCAACCATGCATTATTATATGAAATACCCCGATTTTATGTGAATATTGTCATTGTAATGATATACTAGCAAAAGTATGGCTGTTCCTGGTAGGGCATGACGTTCCTCATTATCAAGACGCATGTTTCATTCCAATAACATTCCCATTAAATTGCTAGTAGTATAAATGTACAACACAGTGGTTTGGGAAGTGTAACCTATAATACGGTTCAGCAGCTTGGGGTACACCATGTATAGTATACCATACAGATTGTAATGGTCAAGAGTATCATACAACACAGCATACAGACCACAGTGCTCCAGACTAGGTAATATAAAGCAAAACATGCATCTTGAAGTTGTAAGCTGTATTCAACATATAACTCTTTGCAGTGTTCTGCAGTATGTAATATACAGTTCCAGATTACGCATTATGCAGCACAGTATACAATAGGTAATGATCAGAAGTATGTAATGTGCGGCATAGTCTATAGGCTGCAGCAGTTTAAAATATGTAATGTAACACACAATGTGAAGTATACACCAGTCCCGAGTTAGTAACGTTCATCGCAGCATTTAAAGCGCAGTGGTCCAGGGTATGTGACATACAGCAGAGGGTGCAGCAGTACAGAGTATGTAATGTATAGCATGGTGTACAGAGTGCAGAAGTCCAGATTATGTAATTCATTAGAATAGGCTGCCTAAGGCACAACTGCGGACCAGAAATCATACCTGCTGCATTTCTTGTGTTGCAGTGCATCCCAAGGCATGGTAGTGCGTTACTGTCCATTGCAAAGGTGTGTTGGAGTGAGTGGCACAATGAATACTATTGTACAACAGATGATGTGCATTACCTCAACTCGATGGGGTACAGGTCTGTTTACAGTTCACAGCAAATCACAATCCTAGAGTGCCAACTGAGGGGAACGAAATTACATGAAAGAGCTCCTCCTATAATTTGATTTAAAAACAACCTTAAACCTCACAATCAAACCTTACAGTGAGCATGTTCCTTCAAACACAGCTGAATATGTTTTTGTTTTCTGGCTTTCTCAAGAGCTGAAAAGAAAATCCCTAAGTAAAAGATTGGGGGGTCAGAGGAAACACTCACTTCCTGGTTTTAATGTACTTTTAGGATAAACATGGCGGCAGACATATTTTCCAATGACATACCCAGGCTCTGCTTCAAGCTTTTCTTTGCTGATCATACTTTACTACTCTTTCTCACAATGCATGTCTAGTAGTTGGCCAACTCATTCCAAATAATGCCTTCCCTATGTGGCCAGTATCTTATTTCAACAGTTTCTAAAGTGAGCAAGTAGGCAGCAGAATAAAGACAGGAAAGGACGTAGAATAAAGAAACCCCTGGAACTAAAGAATAAGCCGTCATGTCAGTCATCCTCTATGGGTAGAGGTGGAGATGCATTGAGGTCACTTGGAGAATGCCACCTTCAGTGCACTCTCTGTACCATGGTGGCCACTACAGGGTTGGGATCACTGCCATTTTATTGTAATGCCACCGTCACAGCAACTGTTGCCTAGATAGGGACTTGATTTAGGAGTAAGGATTGCTATACAGTATGTGAAATCAAGTTTTGCTTTGACTTCACATTTAAGCAGAAATATTGTACCGCGCCTCTCATTCAGCTGCTAGTTTTTGGTTCGCATGCAGCTCCTTCTTTGTGGCCCTATACTGGTTTAAAGATTTAAGTTAATCAAGGCCAGGCCTGTTTTCCAGTTGATGAAAGTAACATTTTCATGACATACCTTTTCAGCTTAGTACTTCAACAAATGTTTAAATCATTGTTACAGTGATGGTAAAAAACACCTGTCTGATGCGACGCTGGGGTCCTTCTCTGCATATGTGAAAGCTGGCGGGTCCGGCAGCAGGTCAGGGCGCCAGGTCAGGGTAAACAGATTTCCATTCGTGCCTACAGATGCCCAAAATGGAAATCTGGCCCTGGGCGGTCTCTAGTCTCCTGCAGCATATCTTTAGTTTCCAGCCAGGCCTGTAGCATATCCTGGGTGTCTGGCCATCTCTTTCAGCATGTCAGCAGTTTCCTATAGCATTCCATATGCTGAATAATATGTACAGTCCCCTGGGAACATCAGGGGCTGCAATTGTGGCCTCTCCACAATGCCTCTCCAGGTGATGGAGACTGTGGTGATTACATGCTGGTATCTAAAATGTTCTATTTAACTACCAAAATTATTATTCTGTACTAAAACCTTCATCTTATCTCTTAGTTATCTTGTTTTCTATTTTTTTTTTTTTTTTAAGTAGAAAGGAAAGGAAAAAAAACTATTCTGAGTTTAGCCAACCATTTTTGGCATATAAATTTGTAATGGTCCGCATAACTGGGGGCATGGCAGGGGTATGTCCATTACCTAAATACACTGGGCTGTAAGGTGTCCCTCTTTCTCATCCCAGTAAGTATATGTACAGGTTTTTTTTTAAATACCTGGGTGGGGCAAGGCATGGATGGGGGTGTTTTAAGCCAGAGTTCTGCTTTAAGCTCATACGTGGCATAATCTTTTTTTTTTTTCTGGAATAAAGTAGCTGCAGCCCTCACTAGACATAATGAGGCCCTGTGAAGATTATTTCCACACAATCCCCCCCTGTTTCATTTGCATATAACATGCCTGTTCTACATTAAATGTGGAAGAATGAGCATGTAAAATGGTGAAAGTAGGATTTAACCCACCTTAACGCACAAATACCATGCAGATAGTGTCACGGGTGGGAGAACACAGAGTTAATATGCAAAGGATCTAAGTACACACACTGCGAAGCATGAGTCAGAGCCTGCATTTGTAATAAGCACATATGGCTGTGCCCCCCATCCCACTGTGTGTATGTGTGTGTGTGTGTGTGTGTGTGTGTGTGTGTGTGTGTGTGTGTGTCGGGGGCCCAATCTTCTTGTCCCTCATGACAATCTACTTGTCATGATACACAAAATAATTTTAACCAAAACCGTTTTTAACCGTGCTAAGAAGCTCTTCTCATTAGTCAGCGTGGTTACCTGACCGTAGTGACCAACGAGTGCTTGCTATTTGCAAATGAAATTTAAAATCCACTGTGGTGGACGGTATGGGGTATAGATAGTAGGGATGCACAGATACTTTTCGAGTACCATTGCAGATACTTTGGCATTTCTATGAGAACTACCAGGGTTGCAGCGGTTGCAGCTGGGACCTGGCTCTGGCACTCCACCACTGTCCTGAAATCATTAGTCTGTATTGTTTTAGAAAAACTGTCACATGACAATAAACAAAAATGTATCAGTACTCGTACTTGTAAGTACTCGGCAAGTATCAGTACTCGTACTCGCAAAACTGGTATCTGTGCATCCCTTTATTTATAAAAACAAAATCGTACATTAAAACAGAGATGTACACATCCCAGGAGCTCCGTGTGCTCCTTACAAATGACAGCTGCCTCGTAATTTTTGGATTTTTCTCTAGTGTAGTCTTGGAGCTCAAAAGTATCGGTACTTGTACTCGTACTTGTACCGAGTACTGTACTTGGTATCTGTGCAACCCTCATAGATAGCACACCTGTACTGGCAGAGGGGAAGGACCGTTCACCGAAAGGTATGTATAGGGGTGGGCAGATTTGAGCGGGTAATTCCATTTTCCCAAGTTATTTCGGAAAGTGAACCCTTTAATGCACATTGTGTGTGTTAGAGAGTGTTGCTGCCCGGCTACCACAGTGTAGCACACAGTGGAATGAGAGCAGAACTCAGCACACAAACACAATGCCCTATGTGTGCGGTAATTTGCATGCAGATGGCAGGTGTGGTGGGTAGGGATGCATTGATACCGGTACTAATATCGGTGCCGATACTACAGAATATTTGGGTGAGTACTCGTACTTGCCCAAATGCTTCGATACTTACCCCCGATACTGGAACTTCCAGGCAGAAGGAGATTTTCTCTGACCGGCAGTGCCGCAAGGTAACATGGAACTGGCTTCCCAGCCAATCAGGGAGCCAGGCGGCGAGTAATGACTTCCCAGCAAATCCGCATCGTGCTGGCCAAACAGCAGGGTAATGACACGCCGCCCGGTTTTCTGATTGGTTGGGAAGCCATCTCCATGCTAGCGGAATATGCATATATATATGCATTTGAATATAATCAGACCATTGCAAGCACTGTGGCCAGTGTTGAATTGTTTGTCCCAACTCTTGTAACTGTCACTTTTGTGGAACAGCTAGGCCAGCATGTGAATATACAGAAAGGCATCTGAAATAAGTAAGAAATGGTGGTTATGGTTATAGCTGATATGTTCCTTTTTAAAGTGTGTATCTCTCCCGAATCAATGCAGTGATTCCTTAGGGGTAATAGCTAGTGGTTTCCCACGGCTAGGATTGTTCTCTATCAAACACAGCACCTTTCTCTAGTCTCCATGTGAACTTGCATTGAAGCAAAGGAAGTGTTTCAGTGGATTTACGCCACTAACACCTATAATCTGTGTCTGAGAGAAAATCGTTGCTGGTCAGGCACTACTGTTATGCATTTGAGGATGAGTAGATATCTCATCTGCAATGCTGTGGTTGACCTAAGCCTTTCCTGTCCTTCAATCTAACATCTAGAGCTGATATAAATATAATAAGACATTTTACTTGTCTCAGGTTGAATCTAAATTTGAACAATTTTCCCTTTAATATTCCAGAAGTACCAGGTTTCTGCAAGATTCGAAAGGACCAAGAGTTTTGTGTACTTAAAGTGAAAGTATTGTCAAACAAAATGAATGTTAATTTAGATAATCAGGTAAGAGGAATTTATGTATAAACATTAGCAGAAAAAATTAGTAGTAATATATGCTGACTAAACTTCAATCCTTGCTAATGGGGAATGATAGATGCATCAAAGTCCTGCCCTAGACTTTTGGCAGATGCCTAAATATTTCACCAAATATTTCTTACTTATACTACATTACACTATCTGGCAAAAAGTATGTGGCCACCACTCCAAATGACTGAATTTGGGTATTTCCTGTGAAGGGTACTGTTAGGCAATTGTGCACTCCCAACCATAGTTTGGGGAAGGCCGTTTTCTGTTCTAGCATAACTGTGCCCCTGTGCGCAGAGCCAGGTCCATGAAGACATAATTTTATGGGTTTGGTATGGAGGAACGTAGATGTCCTGCACAGAGCTGACTTCTTCTTTGGAATGAGTTGGAATTCCAGTGTTAGGCCAGTTCTTCTCATCCAGCATCAGTATCTGGCCTTGGAAATGCTCTTTTGGCTAAATGGTATGAATTCCCGAATCTTGTGGAAAGCCTTTCCAGAAGAGTAGCAGCTGTTTTAGTTGCAAAAGGTGGCAACTCCAAATAAATAGCTTTTTCTTTTTGGAATGGGATATCCAACAAGCTCATATACTGTAGGTGTCAAGTCAGGTGTTCACAAACGTTTGTGAATGTAGTGTACTTTGTGGGGAAAGCTACACTACAATCAATAGCCATATATAGCACATTTGCAAATCTCTCTTGTCCCATGTGTATAAAATGGAAAAGATATTGCTCTAATGGCATTTCACTATTCAGAGCAAGGAGTGTATAATTGGAAATTTCTGCAGTGTTGTGGTTAGTTTTAAGTAGCAAATTAAGCGTTAATTATTGGTAATGAATGTCCCTTTATTGGTTGCTGATTTTTTATTTGCTGAACCATAGTGCTTCCAAACAACATTGAGCCTTTCCCATTAATCCCCTTAAAGTGACACTAGACTCAGGAGTTAAATTGTAAAAATGCATTCATGTACCATAAATATTAACAGAAATGTATCTTATTTGTGTATCACTCGGCTGTAGATCCTCAAATCATCTCTGAATTGGTGCTGACACTGTCCTTCCTTCTGGAGGGTGGCTACTTTTGTTCCCCATGGTCCCTGTGTGTGTGTTGTAGAGTAGCCAACGCTCCAAGCTCACTCCCGTGATGGACTACAATCTCATGTTTAGTTTACTAATTTGTATTGAGATTGTAGTCTATCAGGGGAGTGAGCTTGGAGCGGTGGCTACTTTACAATACACACAGGGACCATGGGGAACAAAAGTAGCCACCCTCCAGAAGGAAGGACAGTATCAGCACCAACTCAGAGATGATTTGAGGATCTACAGCTGACTGATACACAAATTAGATACATTTTTGTTAATAGTTGGGGTACTTGGATGCATTTTAAAGATTTAACTCCTGAGTTTAGTGCCACTTTAAGGAATTTAGTTCACAATCTAATGCCCCAGCAGCAGTCATAAACGTGCACATAAACACATTTTTCGAGGGAAACCACTCAAACAGAGCTGCAATTCTGTGTTTACTCATTATGTTTATTTAAAGAGAAGCTATCATGGTATGTAGTCAAAATTTTTTTTCATTTATAAGCCTTTAAACTGAATAATTATAATTATTTGTCTACTTTCTGTTCAGAAAAAGACCCACAAAGTATCGATAGATTCTAGAGATGTTATAGATAACCTTAATGTGAAGGCTAGAGGGGTAGAAAAGGACATAGTCAATCTCCAGTTTAAGAGGATACATTGAAATTTGTATATGATTACATTTGCCTATATCCCTTGATGTACTAATATTTTGACATGTGGTTTTCACTAAAGGTAATTAATGCAGTTTTTTTTATTATATGCTCCGTTTGAACTGCCCATTTGTGTGACAAGTGTACATTAAAGTGTAATCGGTGCCAGGCTGTTGACATTCATATATTTACATAGTCTTAACATGCAATAAATGAGCTCTAACACAAGCCATTACTGATCTCAGTAGCTGCAGGCATTGTGGAGCAAGTCATCTTCAAATTTGACAGCAGAAGCACTGACATCCCTGCCAATGCCAGCTCAGTGCCTCTGTCAGCAGTCACTTGGTAGCCTTTCAGTCCTTTAATCTGCTGAGAGCTGACTTGGAGAATTGCAGTTCTTCTCAATTGCTTTACAGCAATTGCTCTGCAGCTGCAGAGGTTAATAATTCTGTTTTGTTGCTCATTTACTGCTTGCTAAGAATATGTAAAAAACATGAATGCCCATAGCCTGATCACAGGTTCACTTTAAGAGTGCAAGCATGTGCTTTTTCATTATATTATAAAAAAAAAAAATATCAGTGATATGGAAGTTTCCCTTATGTGGGAAAAAGCCAGATGATGATGGCAGTAGGAACCTATCCATACCAGGAAATATTCCTTTATAACGGCAGTCATCTATTGTCTTATTTTAGACTGTGAGAACCAAAGATTAACAGCACCATGTTTGTCTCCCAGGCTAATCCAATTTTAGATTCACAGATTGGTCTAATAGGAACATTTTCTGTGCTCACAGCCTACTGTGATTTTGAAGCTTACATGTTTTATGCTGGATGCCCCCATTATGGAGCCTATGTTCTAAGCCCTGGTTCACACCTAGGCAGCAACGTTTTTGCGCGTTTATACGTGCGTTAGCAGCATGCGGCTATTTCTTTTAACGCGCATACATGAAGACGCGCGTTTTGATTGGCAGCTCATAAACCATTGTGGGCAATGGAAGAACACGCGTATAAACGCGCAAAAACGCTCACGAAAATGTGCAACATGCTTCTGTTGAGTGTTTTTGGGCATTTCCAATGAAGTCTACGAAGAGTTGAAGCACTTTTAACTGCCCAAAGAAGCTCCTGTATCTTTTCAGGCGTCTGGCGTTTTTCTGCTCAGGTGTGAACCAGGGCCATTGAAAATCATGGGATTTCTTGTGTTGGGCAGCTAAAAGCGCTTTTCGAACTGCTCAAAAACGCTGTGGTGGGAACCAGGGCTAAATATTCTTAACTTCCCTGGCGGTATGATTATTTCAGTATTTTTTTAAAAATTTTTTCCTGCTTTACTTTTGAATTTCTTGCCGGTTTTCGCCCCCCTGCAATGCCGGCATTCGCAGAGAAGGAACCCGGAAGACCCCCGAGCCACACTCGGGATTAACGCCAGGAAAGTTAAAGTAAGCCTGTACCTTGCTCAAAATCACAGGTTTGCTTTTACAGAAGGAAATTTAAGCAGTCAATACTTACCTTCCCTGAACTTACCAGCCACCTAAGGGGTTTGTATGTACGTTTCAATACATATACACATCCTCTGCCTCCATGTAACTGTGCTTGCCAATTGACTGCTCAGACATGAAGCACTACACTGTGAAGATGTATTTCCCCATTTCAGAAATTTTTTCCCAGGGGTTTGTTGCTAAGGGAGCATGGGGAAGGTACGTTTTGACTGTTTACAGTTTTTCCTCTGAAGTGAGACTGTTGCGTTGCCCACTATGTGCAAAGTACAGGTTCACTTTAAATGACAGCTGCATCCCAACCCTCAAAACCCAGGTGGGCGTAGGATGGTTAAATCACCATCCAGCTCCTTCAACACTGTAGTGATAAGGATTCTCTACAATATGTTGGGTCTTTGCCCGCTTCCCACAGGGCCATAATAGAGGTGTCACTTTCTTCCACATGGACTTTCCAGTTATGTGTTCACTGTGCTCTATAGACAACCCATTGGGGATTAACCCTTTTGTGCGTATAAGTCATTGAAGTGAAGATGCCCAGACCAAATTTAGCAGCGTCAGCATGCATCTGTTAACGTTAGACTATAACTCTATGATTACAACTAGAGGTGCACCGAAATAGAAATTTAAAAACCGAAACGAAACCGGAAAAAAAAATTGTCAGGCTGAATCCGAAAATGTTTTTATTTTAATATTTTATTTATTTTTTACAAACGTTTTAATTTTTTTCATATTTATTTTTATTTATTCATTTTTTATTTTTATTTTTTACTTTACTTTTAGGGGCTTCGGGGAAATATTGGGGGTCTAAACCCCTGATATTTCCCTTTTAAAATAGAAAAAGAGATTGAGAACAGAGTCCTCAATCTCTTTTTCTGTATCCCCTGTTATCAATGGAACAGGAATCCTCTATACTTAGTGTTCCTGTTCATTGATAACATGAGGACATTGTGTGTTTTACTATAACTACAATTATGAATGAACAGGAGGGGATATAGATCACTCCCATTCATTCATAATTGAGGATGTAGTTAACATACAATGTCCTCAATTATCTACAAACACTCAGCGATCACTGATCACTGAGTGTTTGCTCTCCTCTCTGACACGCTGTCACAGGAGGCTGAGTGAGCGGAGCAGGGAGGAGAGCTCAGCCTCCTGTGACAGTGCGGGCTATCTCCGCCCCCACACTGCTCTGCCGGACTGTGATAGGCGGCTGATCGGTGTGGGAGGAGAGACGCCGGCCGCTCACAGACTCTTCCCCCCGCAGCGCTCGGCCGGCTGTCACTTTCTCTCCTCCCTGCGGGGAGGAAAGAAAGCAGGGATGCGCCAATGTATCGGCAGGAAAATGGCACTTTCAGCATTTAGCCAAAAGTGCCATTTTCGGCCGACATGTTTCGGCGGCCGATATAACGGTGCATCCCTAATTATAACTATGCCTAATTTGCATTCCTTAGGTTTTGTTAAGGATGTATAAGTAAATAGTAAAAAACAGGTAGGATCGGTGCATACCTTTTCCTATCATATCTAAATGGTGGCTTTTAAACCAATGTGCCAGACCAAACAATGGAAACAACAAATTTGTTACAATTAAAATTTTTATTATTACAAATTCATTGAAAAGGTACAATAAAACATTTGATAAAACCACTGGTTGTTTATGCTGGTCTTTACAGCCAATTTTGAGGGTTTTTTCACTATCAAAAAGCTGTCACATTAATGATGTATAGTTTCATATTGTTCAGAAACATTGTTTTAAA